CGCCCCGTTACAAGTCTTCAGCCAATCACACGCCTCCGTCACACGTTCATTCGCCGCGTTACAAGTCTTCAGCCAATCAGACGCCTCCGTCACACCCCTGGGCCAGTGAGCCCGCTGCATAAGGAACTGAGGCCCGTTATACGATCATTCTGGACTCCATCATGACAGGCGCTGTTGGGGTTGTGGGGCTGTATTCACAACGCTGTTGAACTTCTGTTTTGGCTACTGCGTTACGGCAGTAAGGTGCTTTGGCGGGTTTTTGCCATTTTCTGTCAGTTCTATGAGATGTAGAATATTGGACATGAGGGGGCAGAATAGAATAAGCCACTATACTCATAAACGGGTGTTTTTTTTGTTACGTTTATGCTTGTGTAAATGGGCAGTCAGCCCTGGTGGAGGGGCTGAACTCTGAAATCCATCCATGATAGTGACATTCATGAATAACGTCAGTAAATCGCTCATACAAATATTATCACTTCACTTTCAATAAGCGCTTATCCAGAGCAGGGTCATGGCAGAGCCATGGGCACAAGGCGGGACACAGCTTGGAAGGGACACCAGTCCATTGCAGGGCAGACACAGACACACCCACCAGGGCCGGTTTTCCCAGAAGCCAATTAACACACCTGTAGGTCTTTTGACCTTGGGAGCAGATCAGAGCACCCAGAGGAAACCCAGGGGAAAACATACAAAGCGCACAATAGCAGCCTAGGAATAGGGCCAGGGCCGGATTTCGGTGTTCGTAGGCCCTAGGCACGTTCACTCAGAAATCTGCAAAAATAGGGGTAAATGCCAACTGACTGACGTCGATTGACATGATGCACTTTCAGCTGTTCTCATGCTGAACCACGTGATTGATGGAGCGTTTCGAGTGACCATCACTTCCATACTTCTAGTTTCTAGAACAGCTGATAGAGAGAGCATGTGATTACTGACTTGCAGCATCTAGAGTCGATCACAAGCATGCGGGATAGTCACGGTTCCGCACGGGGTCGTGCCCCCCCCGACAGCCGTTCCGTCCCCTACACCTGGGGCGTGAATCCGGGTCTCTGGCGTAACGCAACAGGGCACCAACCGCATGAGCTAAAGGAGTCCTCCCTCAGCCCAGGCAGCTGAGGTCCCTGCTACGCGCAGTGTGGGTGCTGACATCACCGCACTAGCTCCGCTACACGTGTGTAATGACTAATTTTCATTAGTTACCAGTGTTTCCCTCCTTCGTAGGCGCTATGAACTTGTCACAGCACCCAGAGTGCACCAGTCTGCTCACTACACACCAGCTCTCAGTGGGGAGGAGAACAGAGTGATGAAGCTAATTCATAGATGGGGATTATATAGGAGGCCATGAGTGGTAAAGGCCAGGGGGAAATTTGGCCAGGATGCTGGGGTATCACCCCAACATAAAATATAAGGTCCTGTCCTGCCAGTTGGCCACTGCCAGTGCCTGGACCAGTCGACAGTGTGAGCTGGGACTGCCTGTCGCTGCAACTGTGGATGGTTCGCACTGTATGATCCAAAACCTTTCTCTCCTGGCACCCACACTTGTTAAGGCTGTCCTGTCCCATTGCACAGTTTTGTGTTGTCTTTGATTGAGTGCTAAATAATATGTTCTCAACTGACCAAACTGATATAATAAAGATGATGCCTAATAATCATGAAGCACACACGAGGCATCATCACCATAATCATGAAGCAGTAGTTGTGATATCTGTTTTCACTAGAAATCGTGAGAAATCTCTCACTTTTTTATCTTTGCATGAAGCAAGCACACTTCCGTTGAGGAGCTATAAAGGCAACTATAGCAGGAAGTAGGCTGGATACAACCGCACAGCACGCGAGATACAGCAGATCCTAATCTGTGCCAAGAGCCGCACTCCCTTCACCAAAGAGAAAAGTAAGGTAGGATGGCACTTCACCACTAAACTCTTTAAAGGAGAGGCTTCATAGCTTTTAATGTCGCTAACTGAGGGGATTTACTTAGCCGTGAAAGCGACTTTGTCATTCCAATTAACATGCATTATTTTTGATACATTATTGTTTTGAAAGATACGGGAAAATTAAAAAAAATAATAATAATGACAATAAATCTCGCAGAGGACACGGAGGCGCGTTTAGAACTAACGAAAGTTTACTTGAATAAATATAAATTTAAATCCCCAAAGATCTATTTTAGTTCACTCTCTTTCTCTATTTTCTGGTAAAGAAAAACACGTGAACTCGGAAAGGAAGAACAAAACGTTTATTCAGAAAAGAGGCAGTTGCTGTTCCGTCTTCAGTGAGTTAATGGTTGAATATTTGATCATCAATGTGATCATCAATGTTATGATTAGTTCCGACTTTGGGAATTCAAGTCGCCGAACTCTAAAAGCCGGGCAAGTGGATCTTAGAGGTCGAAAACACTGGCCTTACGGGCTAGCCGGTCAGTATCAGATCATATCGACCATCGGATAGCGACTGGCTTTCCATTCCCCGCATGATTTTATACACTCGTGATCAAATTCCGTGAAATGAGAAATTTCCTCATCCTTTCCTGCGCTAAACTGCGATACTCGTGTAGTTCATGCTGTCTTTGCCAAGTCAAACTTTTGATTTAAGAAATCAAGAAAAAACATCAAGCAGAGCCCTTTCGATAATAATAATAATAATAATAATAATAATAATTCATCGCCCAGCTGATGAAATTTCACGAAAAGTAACTCCCTGATAGTGACATTTTCCTCACAGCGAAGTTTTACGAAAGGTCTCAGGTTCTTTTTAGTTTGAAGAGCATCAGGGCTCCTGGACTTCATTCTGTTTTCAGTTTGTCAGTTGAGTGACTTCATTATTTCTGTGATCGGTTGAACACCTCCCACTCCCACCTCGGGATGGGAGCCCTGGAGGGTCTCGTGTTGCGCTTCTTTCCAGGAGTAACTCAGATCGATGAAGCCCGCCGCTGTTCGATCGTATGGAATACAACTGCGATAACGTCACACCGATCGGTCTCTCATTTCAATTCAATTCAAGGTGCTTTATTAGCACCGATGGGTACAATCAGTGTTGCCAAAGCAGATAAAAATAAAATTAACATGGAACAAAACATAAAATAAAAGTAAAATGAAATCTACAGGAATATTACAGACATTTACAACAGAGACATGTCATAAATTATTTACATATACTGTAAACGTATTGAGCGTTATTGCGAGACAGACTCACTGTTCCTCAGGCTGTGACTGGAGATCACATACTGGGCTGCCAGTTCAACTGAGTTCCCTCCTCCCTCTCTCAGTAGGATTGGGATCCGTTGTGATTCTGGCAGGTGTGGGAACTCTGGGATTAGATTTCTGAATTTCGGGAAGAATGTTTCTCTACTCCCAGAGTATCTGTCTCAGTGCAGTAGGAAGTGCACCTCTGTCTTTATTTCTCCCCGCTGGCAGTGGGAGCACAGCCTGTCCTCTCTGGGCAGCCAGGTCTGCCTGTGTCACCCAGTTTCTATGGCCAGGCTGTGGTCACTGAGCCTGTACTTCGTCAGGGTCTGTTTCTTTTTGTTGTTTCTTGTCTTGGTCAAATATTTGGCTAGTGTGTATTGTCTATTTAGGGTTCTGTAGCATTCCAGTTTATGTTGTGTTTGTGTGTGGGTCCCAGTGTGTGAGATATTGCTGTTTGATCTGTGCTGTGATGTGGCTGAGTTTAATACTTATAAACGTATAATAAAGTAATACTTTAATACTCTTTTCTGTATGTTTATCAATAGTGGCTACTGGCCTAATTCGGCCCTGCACCCGTTGTAAGGTGTTTCTCTCTCTCTTTTTTTTGTGCTTCTGCAACTCTTAGGATTCGTCATGCAAGCGCCAGGCGTCGTGGCGGCCCAGCCGCAGGGGATCGTGCTCCAGCAGGTGACCACTGTCGAACTGGCCAGCGCCTGGAGCACCGGCCTCTTCGACTGCTGCGCTGACATGGGCATCTGTAAGCGACAGCCGAGGGTTCTGACGTCTTGCTGGACGTCGGAGAAGGGCAGCTCCCGTCCTGCGCTCTAGCTGTCCTAGTGAGGCTCCGGGGTCAGCTGGCTTTTGGTGCAGTCCTATTCACCGGTGCTAAACTGGTCTGCTTGCTTGCTTGGGCTCCCCCCCCCCCCGACACTCCTGATCCCGTGGGCTCTCCCACGCCTGCTGCATTTTCGTTCCTGCCAAGCTCTCAGTGACACAATTGAAACCTTAATTGACTTAATAAAATGATTAATTGGAGCTGCTAATCGCTGACAGCTCTTAAGCATGTTAGACGTCGGCATTTAACTATCGTATTTCGTAAGTAAAATCACAAACCTTTTCATACAAAAAAAGTGGCACACGACCACCTTGTTAGTTCAGTTATTAAGGTCATTACGGCGCTACAGGGGTCCAAATTTAAGGGGGGGCGTTGGTAACGTCATTAAAATTATTATTTTTTTAGACAAGACCGCCCGCGAAATAAACGAATGAGAGATCCTATGTCACGAGCGGGGAACGCGGTGTATTATCCAATAGCAATATCAAGAGTCTGGCATATTTTAAAATAAAACTCAATGATCTATTGGAAAACAAGGCTGTGCGGATGATTTGCAACTGGTCGTTGGCGCGTTCATTCCAGAATATGCAGAGCTGGATAACGCGACCTGTTCCCCTGTAAAGACTGAGAAACAGACGAGCTTACATTTAGCTACGCTGTGTTGGTTAGCGTGCCACATGAAAGCGAGCCGGAAATGTAAGTCGGGTAGCGAGAAACGGGTTGTCTGTTATTTTAAGGTTAACATAAAAACGGTTGCAACCATTCTACCCATTGTCCCGTTTGATTAGCCTGGCATCTTATCTTATCGTGAGTGTTCTGGCGCACTATACTGCCGTCGCATCATCCAGGTGGGGCTGCACACTGGTGGTGGAGGGGATCCCCATTACCTGTAAAGCGCTTTGAGAGGAGTGTCCAGAATAGCGCTGTATAAGTGTAAGCAATTATTTTATTATTATAAATAAATGGGAAGCCACCCTTAGATCGTGGCTTATTGCTGTTTTTTTTATTTTGCCTAGAAAAGCATGCAGTAACCAAACCCCCTTGTTCAACTAAGACATAAGTGGGTTGATGGAGAACTCAGACATTTTAAAACCAGCAATCTGGGTTTGCCAAGAGTCCCTGATGAGGGGCTGCAGTCCCTGTGTGCACAAACTGCTAATGTGGTTTAAACAAGCAAGGTCACATGATTGAAGGGTCACACTGAACCACTACAAAAGCCAACCACCTTTGCAAAGAACAGATAGCTTTACTGAACACTCAGGGCACACCCTTCCCATTTCCTGTTATTTGAAACAAGCTCCCTGCTATGATGTGCATTTCACCTCGCAAACCAATGCTAAGCTTAAATTCTTAACCCTTTGTGAACCACATTACACAGGGGTTGCTAGGCTGGCAACTTCAGATCAATGGTTGTGGCAGAAAGATATCTGTCACAATGATATTATGAACCCAAGCTGGGCACAGAAAATGTCAATGGCTGTCTCACTTTTATCCAGCTGTGCTGTTCTCCTCCGGTCTGACACAGATGGTACCCGATCTGTGTGTGATCAGACCATAGGATGGGGGAAGGTGTTACCTGCTGGTTTATGATCAGACCATGGAGTAGCCCAGGTCTGAGCCATTCTGTCACCTGGAAGGTGTAGCAGATACCACCTTCACTGTTCCCATCGGCCAACCGCACACTGCTAAGGGACATACAATCGTCCGATTACAAACAGATGTGCTGACTTTGGCAAACTTCGAAAGGCTTGGGGGGGGGGGGGGGGTACTTTTCCTAATGTTGTGTCTTTGCAACACAACACCAAGCAGAAACTTACAAGATACATGGCAATGTGAAAGACTTTTCTTTAATTTTGCCGCGAACAATAGAATGTCATTCCCCACCAGCACTCAAAAAGTAGTACAGCAACACTCACCAGATGTGGAGTCAGTCAAGAAATATAGGAGGTAATTTGATGCAGCAGTGATAGAGATGTGTGTGACACTGGGTGTGTGTCAATACTGATACTGTGTGACAATACCGATTTAAGTTACCTTTTAAAGCCCAATCAGGGCATGTGGAGGTAGGAGAGAGGTGTGCTTGTTGCCGATTTGACAGTTCCAGACCCATGACATTCTCCTGCCCTCAGGCTGTCTGGGTACCTTCTGCATCTCTTCTCTGGAGTGTCGGACCGCCTCGGAATTTGGGGAATGCTGCTGCCTGCCTTGGCTGTGTCCAATCTCCACGACTTTGAGGACTGCCATAAGAGAAAGATACAGGATCCCGGTATGAGTCAGAGATCATCCCTAACAGCTTGCACTCACATTCCCGATGCAATGATGTGAATGCCTGGGTTGTTTTGACCCTGATGTGGTAGTTGACAATACTGATTTAACTTTTAAAGCTGCTCATGCTTAAGGCTATAACATACAATGTCACAAATTAGAGGAGGGTATTCCAGACATCACCCTCATTGGATTATTAATAGGTAATTGTTTAATTCTGGTGTTTCTTGAAGTTAGCTAAAACATCAGCTTCAAAATTGGGGCCCATCAATCTCTTTTTTTAATAAGTATTTCCTGTATTCAGTGCTGAATGCAGCTCTTGATGTTTGTCCTATTTTTTCCTGTATTCCTGTTGATCCTGGGGAAGTCTGCTGGGATTGTTATCTTTGAAAATGGCACAAAATGATTGCCCGCACTCTATGGGCACAATGCTGAGCACCTTCCAGTCCTTTATTGAGCGAAGGGGGTCAAGGCAGTATTTCTCTATTTCTAGGGCTCCATCCTGGAAGACTTCTTTGTGTCCCTATTCTGCAACGTCTGCAGCTGGTGCCAGATGGCACGAGAGTTAAAGAACCGAAGACAGACCACCACCACCACCACCACCACCACTTACACAGCGGTGCCACAGATGTAGGCTTCCAAGAACCCTGTGTGGAATGCAGATTGGATTATATGAAGTTTGAGAACTGGAAAAAACTCAATGTTTTGCTAAATAAATGTGTTCTGAGTTCAAGCTGATGTCTGATGCGCACATATGCACTACAGCTCCTGGTCCCCATGAGTGATAATGCTTAGTTCTGCAAAGGCATGTCCAATCATTGGCTATGGACCATAGTCTTCTGGTCTAAAGACCAGATCAATAAATCCACCACATTGAGATAAACATCTTCACTCCTTTTCAGGACCAGGGATTTTAAATGACATAATTTTATACAATTGTGTTCCAATAGCCTCATACTGGAACTGAAAAAAACCACAGTGGGCTTAGACAGTGAAATTAAAGACCAGAAGAGCACAAAGAGCAGAAATGGTCAGGAGAGGAAAGATGAGGCTACAACTGACAATTCGCAACTTCTTGGCAAGACACTCATTGACCCCTTTAATGGCTTAACAGACCTTTTCCATCCATTACTTGAAGCATGACCATTTATGCTCATGCGCAACCCTTGCAAGTACCCAGGTTTCTGTATTCCCATCAGCGATGAGGTTTAAGGCATCAATACAGAGTGCTTCTGCTAAGAGTATCCAACATTAGAACAAAGGCAAAAGAGCACTTGTCAAGAGACACCATTTGAATGGGTGACGGACACGAATTACCTGCATGTTCATTCAAACTTAGTACAAAACGCCTACAAAGCAATCCACCTTGAGCACTGAGTCACAGCAATGCCATCTTGACAAGTGTAGGAAACAAAAGAAGGGTGCAGTTCACCAGCCAACATCATTAGGAATGTGGAAAAGATACAGGCACATTGCCCCTGCCAGCTGGGAAGGTAGATGGGGAAATCCCTGGCCAGTGAAAATCTCTGTAAAGGAAATTTCACTGGAGGGCAATATTACATTCCTAGTTGCATGTCCAATACTTGCTCCATCCCTGAATGAAGCATAACAAATTGCAAACCCCCCTCCCAGCAGAAAGGTTAGGTTGAGATGAGCCACTCAAACCCCTGCTTGGAGAGGTTTTTATCTGCCAGCTGGATCTTGTGGTGCAGGGGGCCCAGATGGAGGTGTTTGCACTCATGCATCTTTGATGAGGTCAAAGGGAGCCCATAGCGTTGCCCATTGGGGAAGAGATTTGATCTGGGACTTCACTGCTGCAAAAGGGTAGGTCCACAAAAAGACCCATTTTAAAAACAAAAATGGGTAAAAGGAATGATTATTCAGATTGCCTCTAGTTGGAGGTCTTGCAAGAACCTTTACACCAGAACTGCCATGTTTTGACATCTGAGAGTCTTGTCACTTGGTCCCCCCACCATTGGAGCATCCCCACCCCCACAAACAAAAGAGGAACCATCACTGAAGCTTTTAAAAAGTTTTATTCCTCTTGGGTTTCAGTCACAGGCTAGGCCATGGATTTGCTTTGCCTCCTGTAAAGGGCAGTCCCAAGCACAGCCATGCAGACCAGCCTCACAGCAGCCACCACACCAGCCAGCATCACAACCTCAGCAGAGAGAGCTGGAGAGGGAGAAGACCGGGGTTTGAAATGGTCGTTAAAATAGCTTTAGGCCATCCAACGTCAGGGAATATAAAACTACTACAGGACCTTGCATGTTAAGGAGCAATTAACATAACAGCTTTATAGAGGAACAAGTTTCAAAGCCAAATTCCTGTGGGATTACTCGGTCCTTCCAAACATTTCCCTTTGTCCATTTTCATCTCAAGATGCAGCAATGGCAATGACAGGAGATCCAGCAGTTTAAGGAATCGATTTGTACTCCCCATTCCTACTGCCTTTTGTTCCTTTGTCTGGAGAAGCCTCTGGGCTTTGAGCTCTGCTGGAGGAGCTCGATTCTTGTCCTCCAGAATGAGAGGGCCAAGAGTGACCTCATGGGCCCAGGCTTGATCTGCAGGTTACAGAAGAGCCGGCCCGTTCAGTGCGCCTCTCCAAGAGAAGGGGGGGGAGGCTATAGTAAGACATGTATACCTGCAGCACTTCTCTTACTCCTACCAATCCAATACCTGGATCATACTGTAGCCGCACAGCGGGAGTCACAGCAGCTGCAGACCTGGTCACTCCCATCCACTGATCTCCACCTACAGCAGGGACACAGGGTCAGAGCAGCTCCCTCAGCTGAGCACCAGCTGGACACAGCAGCCCCCTGCCTCCTCACTGACCTGCTGCCCTCACTGTAGCAGTCCTTGTTCAGGGAGTCCACACTCTGGGAAACGGCAGTCACCTTCAGGTGGCAGGTGATGTAGATCTACAGATGAAAGCAGGTCTTGTCTTTGAGAGGGGCAGCCATTAAGCTGTCAAGGTGTCAACCATTTCTGCTCCCTTAGGAAGAGACGTAGGATAACTCACCAAGTTCCTTGCTTCTCTTTGAAATCTGAAGGCATCCAGCTTCATCTGCAACTTAGAGTCCTGGAATCTTGGCATGAACTGAGAGTTGGACCCTGTCAGCTTGGCATCAGTCAGGCACCTGTTAGGGAAGGGGGTGTAGAGAAGTCCACATTTATATATTAAAACAAATTCTCAAATGAGGCATTTGGGTTTGTTCAACTGAAGTCAGTTGATTAGGAATCAACCGCTTCAGCTGCCACTGGATCAAATGTGGTACTTGACCCATTAGAATTTAGTCCCTACTAATCCTTCCCTCCCCCTGCCCATGTCAAAGGGCACCACTTCCTCAATTACAGTCCCAGCAACTGGTCTCTTCATCTCCGTTCCACAACTAAACTCACCCTTTGTTCTCAATGAAGGAGTAGCTGGGGGTGGAGGTCTGGTCAGGGACCAAGGTGGCCACGCAGCTGTCCACAAAGAGCCGCGGGGGCTGGTGGTTGGCCTGGGTGACGGGGGCTTCGATGTTCAGGACATCCCCCAGGTAGAACACATTGCAGGACCTCTGGGAAGAAGCAGTCCAAGAACAGACATGCTGAAGCCATTCTGGGTCATTAGCAGAATGAAAGTCCACATACCTACAGGTTTAGTCATTTGAAAGCCCTCGTCAGCCCTTCTAATAAGGCTTAGCGTCCCCACTCCAAGCACGAGCAAGGTGGAGGAGTCCACAGATAGATACCATTCATGAGTCCCATTGTGAAGCCCAGGACATCTTCGGCAGATTTGGTTGAGGTATATGGGACCCAAGTTGGCTTTAGGGCATTGCTGCTCAAGTTGTGAAACCTAGAAAGGTGGCATTACAATAAGGTGTCCAGAAGATGGGGGCTAAGGCAGTAGACAACATTGCAAGTTTATTCAGTGCTTCCATGTGGAAATCTGCCCAAGTGTTCATAATGCCAAATCAGCAGCTGATCTCACCTCATGTAGCAGCATGCAATACTGACACCATCACCATTAGTCCTCACTATTGTAGATTGTAGTTGAGGGAGAAGTTATAGACGAGCTGGTTTTCAAGTCTTAAAAAAAAAGATGAAGGCGTGAGAGGAAACGTTTAGGGGGGGGGGGGGGGGGGGGGGGGCGATACGGAAAACAGATGAAAAGCCTTTAAGCTGTACCGTTGGTGTACTGCGACACCCCTGTACCGCGGCGTCTCGAAAATCAAGGTCTGCGCCCAGTCATTCTGCAGGGGGACCGCACAGTCTCCCAGGCTGATACCTGAGGGCTTGATCAGCTGGCTAGTACCGAAGAGGTCTCTCTTGACTTCCACCACGATTTTGCTCTCCCCGCACGCTGCCGAGAAGGCCCGGACAACATGTTGGGCAGAGGAGAGTCGAAAAAACACTGCCCCCTTGCTCCCAAGAGCCGATCTCAGCGAGCCGGGAAAAGCGCATCATCGCAGAGCACCAATAGTGCCACTGAATACACTAAAACACTCATGATGCTGACTAACTAGCAAAAAAGCGAATCCACACAACCTCCAAGTGCTCAACCGCTTCTATTTCTGCGTCTCTGCCTGGTTCTGTCAAGCTGCGTGAATAAGGCAGGAGGACCAGATTTTTACGAGGTGTTGAGAATGCCTAATTAAACACAGTTTGTCCTGCAAACATCTCACACGCCTCAGTTACAGTATGTAATGGACCTAAATGAGCTGGGCTCTTAAACACCAGCAGCTTGGACGTTAGCGATTAAATGTACAAACGTAAATGACGCAATGTTTTCAGAACTTTAATATGTTGGGGGGTAAATAAGCTGACTTAAGGTTGAATGCATAATTAATACGAGCACTGAAAAATAAAGCCCTCATACTTGAAGAATAGCGCTGAACTGACGTATTTTGCAGTTTTATCTGGCCGAAGTTGGTTTAATCTTGTACCTGGGATGTCCTTTTCCTCCAAATTGTTTCAAATGATATGTGGTCAACCAGGCATTTTGTTTCTGTGGAGGCTGATCTGTTACGTTAGAAAAACGCCACAATGTAATAAGACACAAAAAAGCTACATAGAGCAGCAGAGGGTAGTTTTCTTGTAACTAATTTTTTTTCCTCCCTAAAACACCCCATTAAATGAGATTCCTGTCTCATGTTACACACAAAACTCACCTTTGAACATTTCTAAACTTCCTGTTTTTAGAGACTGTCTCAGGAAGTGGTTAACGGTGCTTCTATCAGTACCAAGAACAGTCGCACTCTTGAAAATTTCTGTCCTGTATATCTGACCCGAGAGCCGACAAAGGACAGATTTTTTCCAGCTACATTAGTATTTCGGAGTGGGATAATCGTTAATTTCTCAAAGAATACGTCAGGTCTTAATGGCGAGACTTCATGCTACTTTTTCAGGGTAAATCTGTGCGCAGCAGACTATAAAGGAGTTCTGATCTGGTCAGATCTGTTGCGGCATCCCAATCTCCACAACTGAAAGACAGGGAAAGTTCCAATAGGCAACTCCGCAACTGAAATGTAATACATTGCTAAAGTCTACAGAAAACCTGAAACCGAATCAGATCGTGGTGAAAATGGATTGAAGATACTGTGCACATCCTCGCTGTATTGACTCACACCGAACTCTATGCTACCAATGAGGGTGGAAACATTTCAGTATGAAAAAAACAAATTCAGATCAATTGGATGCTGGGGCAGCAGCTGCTATCAAACCCCGCATCAGGAAACAGGGAGCAGTTTCCCCAGAAGATGGGAAATGGCAGCAACTTTCACCCATGCTTGAGTAAAGAATGAGCCTTGTTCAGTTTTAAAAGCACTTCCTTGTCATTTCCCCTTGAGCCTTCTGGATTAAGATCAACTCTTCCTGACAAGAGAAGAAAGCCCACTGGGATGACAGATAGTCAATACACAATGGATTTGATATTATCTACACAGCATGTCCAGGCCTCTCCAACAGGATACAGGTTCAGTTCCTTCATCTTGTCAGCATAGGGCAGTCTCTTCAAGTTCATAAATGGATCTGATTGGTCTGCTTAGGGCAAACACATTAGGAATTCTTCCTGTAAGACAACCCTACCAATGTTCTACTTTATTAGGCATTGCAGCACACTGAATTCACAAGTCTTAACATTTAGAGTCTCCCCCCCCACACAAAATTCCTGAACCTGTCCTATGCACAGGCTTGACTTTCACTTAGTGCTTCTAGAGCAGAGACTAAATTCCTTAATAGAGGAAAAGGAGAGTGACAACTACACATTGACCTTGATAAATGAGGTCCCAGCACTCTTTTGTGCCACACCTAATTAAAACTTGTTTCCTAGAGTCTACAGTAAAGCTTCCAGGTCATCTAGACTATAGCACACCATGTCTATTATGGCTACTTGCTGGATTAGTTTGAACAAGTAGTTTCAGTTGCTTTCACCTTAAGAAGAGGATCCCAGAAACAAGATCCATTTATACATTATGGACTTGACCCATCTATTATAGAGCAGGAAAAAAAAAAACACACCATTTTGTCAACAGAATGGTCAAGTCAACAAATAGAACATGCAGGTGCTAAACCGTGTTTAGCCTAAATAAAGCATGCTGAAAGACAACCCAACCTTTACACTCCTTAAAGTACAGAGTATTGCAGTGTGGTACTGGCATCCATAATTCACACTCAAGAGATGGTAGTAATTTTACTTTTTATTTTCATTGTCAGGTACAAGGTGGACAAAGGCTCATTCTCAGAGGAGAGACACCTGCTATCCAGAGACTGTTCTTGTCTGACCAGGGTCCCAGAAGATCCTAATGGAAAAGAGGGGAAGAAAAGTCTGTAAGACTTTTAACAACTATATAAATCTAGAACAGTTTCCCCCCCCCCCCCAAGTGGGAAACTCAAAGCCTCTCACCCACCAGGTTATCAGCCCCATCATTCAGACAAAAGCTTCTTCCAAAGGGTCCTGCATCCCATCCAAAACAACTAGGGGACCCACTGTAGCATCACTCTTCCAGTCCAACCCTGCAATACACATCACCCTCAAGAGACAGAAACCCAGGGAATATGGCTAAAACAGGAAAGAAACCTACAAGTCGTGGAAGACAAGTCCCCTCTCTTCCAGCGGAGAGAAGCCCGGGATTTGAAGCCACTCCCACAGCTGGAATCACAGCAGCCACAGACCTGATCGCTCCCATCTGCTGACTTCCACCTAGGAGAGACACTGCATGAGGATCCACACAGGGGAGACCAACAAGTCAATGGACAACCGAGACCTACCTCCCACCAGTATAGGAGCAGGCTTTGTTCTTCATGTCCACCTGGGAGACTGGAGCCACTTTCAGGCGGCAGGTGATGTAGATCTGGAACAGACCAGAAGCTCACAGCCAAGCCACACCAGCTCAGATCCCAGTTGAACAGAGGCTGGAAAACTCACTGAGCTCCGGGGATCCCGATGGAACCTGAAGGCATCCAGCTTCATCTGCAGCTTGGTGTCCACTGACCTTGGCATGAACTGAGAGCTGGAGCCGGTCACTCTGGCATCAGTCAGGCACCTGTAATTACAGCAAATTGGCATGGAGAAGGTATATAACCTGACCTACTGGGGCTTAGGCCCATTAGTGACATTTAATGCATACCCATAGTTCTCAATGAAGAAGTAGCTGGGGGTGGAGGTCTGGTCAGGGACCAAGGTGGCCACGCAGCTGTCCACAAAGAGCCGCAGGGGCTGGTGGTTGGCCTGGGTGACGGAGGCTTCGATGTTCAGGACATCCCCCAGGTAGAACACATTGGAGGACCTCTTGGAGCTCCAGTCATCTGCATTAAAATCAGACAGATTAGGTTGATTAATAGAAACCTGGCCAAATTCCCCCCTGACTTACAGCAATCATGGCTTCCTAATCACCATCTATAGATCAACTTCATTACTGTTCTCTTCCCCATCAAGAGAAGAGGCAGGTCAAGTGTACTGGTGCATCATCCAGGTAGAGGAGGGGAGTCCCCTCCCTGACCTGTAATGTACAGTGCTTTTTTGGACACTCAACTCTCCTATACAGTACTTGTACTTTGAGTGAAGTCAAGTCTCCTGCACATCCCCCTCTGCCAATGGCCAGCAGGATCCACAGAAGCACATTAAGAAAAAGAGTACCGTTCATGAGTGTCAGAGTGAAGTCCAGGACATCCTCTGCAGACTTGGTGGAGGTGAAGGGGACCCAGGTTGGCTTCAGAGCATTGCTGCTCACGTTGTATCTCCTAAGAATGAACGGGAGACTCAGGATAGTTTACCCATAATGCCAAGACCAGGGGTGGGTTAAAACCCAGGGCTGCAAGCAGCTCAGACGTTACGGTTCAGGCCAGCAAACACCACCCACCTGGCATAACGGCACTCGATGGGAATGGCTGCGCCGTTCATCCTTATAATTCCGCCAGGAGAGGGGGCGGGCGTGTAGAAAAGCTGATTGGTGTAGATCAGCATCTCACCCACAAACTAGGAGCAGAACAGGAGATCAGCGTGGACTCGCGAGTCGGAAGCCGACAGCAGCAGTGCGCCTATACGAGCTTTTAGAGGATACCAGGGCATCGGCGCAAGGCAACCGAACAGAACCATAGCGCTGCCCGAATCCGCATTCGCAAGGGACCCGCTTTATGACGAGCTACTATTCCAAGTCCCACCCTTCTCTTCAGTTCAGCGGTAGCCCCTCACAGTGCGGCGCCCTAGGACTTCGGTTTCTTACCGAGAGCGCGGTGCCGCAGTCGCTCAGGTTGGCGCGGATGAGGAACGAGCCCCCGGACCCGGCCGCCGCCGCGCCGCAGGAGCCGCCAGCCGAGAGCGGGCCGAGCCGCAACTCCTCGGCGCGGACGGGCGTGCCGATGCCGTAGAGGTCGGCGCTGACCGTGATATCCACGGTGGCCTCGTGGCACTGCACGGTGACGGTCTTGCCCGCTGCAGAAGCTCTTCCCTCGCCCTGCAGGGAAAGAGATACCATGGCCTGCCCTTTACGATAGGAGTGCCCGGACTGGTAGGGGCGCACTCTGGCTCGAGTGCTGGGCTTCGGGATTTCCTTGTTGCTAATCCGCCAGCTGTAGCAATAGCCGCCCATCAACAACAGAACTCCCCAAACATACAGCGCTTTGAATAAAGACCCCATTATTCGCCCAACTGCACTTGAAGTATTAGAACCACCAACCACGATACCCAAGTACGCACTCGTTCTTATTTATACAGGGCAGGACAGCGGGCACAGCTGTTCAATCAAGCGGACCTGATGGGTGCGTCACTAAAAGTCCCAGGTGGGACCGCTGTTGCTTTGATTTTGAATAATTGACACAGGGCTCTCGTCACTCAGTTAATAGACAGTGAAAAGATCGTTTACCCTCCGCAATTCAATTTGTGTTAAGTGACTTAAAAGGGAGAGAAGTTGTAAAGGTAATAAAATCGACTATTTCTTTCTGTTCGTGACGACACCGCATTGTCTAATTGATTATTATGTGAAATCACATCGAATAAGGAAAAGGTTCCGTTCACAGCTTTTGTTGAATACATTTTGTCGTTTAACATCGCTGTCTTTCGGACAGCAGCTTTATTGTTAATTCCTGGATTAATGCTGTTCTCGTGAATAACGTTAAGTCATTTACGGTAAATGCGGGTCTCCTTATTTTAAACACTGCAATCTGAACTAAACATCTACAGTACGAGCTCAGAAACGTGTGCTGTGCTTAATATGGGGTCTAAAACACAGTTTCCGGAAAACCTAGTTTCTGGAATTGTTCCAGGCTTGCACTCTCAGTTACAGAATTGGCCCAATTGTTTAATAACTTCCTAATGGGGATAGTTCTAACCCCAAAGTTGTTTTGTAAGCACAGTTACTGGTCCTTTAGTGAGGTGAATGTTTTGGGCAACCAAGTGTAAAACGCCCTCAGACAATTCCTCTACAAGTCTTTGAAAATAATTGGGTTAATTGTATAACTGACTACTCGTATTGGAATAAAAATCACGAGGCATTCACCCTTTCATGAATTCAACCTGAGGCCGCTAGTTTAAGACACATGTGGTAAACATGGAGCAATGCATGCGTGCTGCAAGAATACTGACACCTGCTGAACATCAGGAGAGTAACATCCTCTTATTTTAGCATGAAACACTGCTTTCCTCCAGACTGAAAGTGGTGCTTTGGTGTAGAACAGTTATACTAAACCCTTTATATAACTGTTTTATATAAACAGTTATATAAAAACCCACTGAAGCTCAGCAGGTGTGAACCTGGTCAGTACCTGGATGGGAGACCTGGGAAAAACTAAGGTTGCTGCTGGAAGCGTGTTAGTCAGGCCAGCAGGGGGTGCTGCAGCACAGCAAGCTGCTTCTTGCTGTGCTGCAGGGGGGACCTGTATGGGTTGGGTATGAATGCTGTGCTGTCTAAGACTACTGCCACTCTCTCTGTTACTGTTCACTCTTCTGACAGTTAGTCCAGCAGACTTGACCTATGGTTTGGAAGAACACCAGCTGTTCATGTACCTGTTGGAGTCTCAGGCTTGTTCATTAGTATCTGCTTAATTGCAGAAGAGCAGGGACACAAAATCATGGGGGGACAACAGGTGCCCTTTCAAGCTTGCCTGGAGGAGAGTCCTTTTAGTGCAGGAGAATTTGTGGAGTCTCCCCAGTATCCTTGCAGAGAGGATTTTAGGACAGTTTATGGTCCCTTTGGGCAGTAGACTATAGGATTAAAATGTCATTTCTGTGGAACTGCATGGCGATGCTAGGGACTGAAATGCTTGTCTGAGCGGGTCACAATTGTTCCTGCCCTTCACAAGAGACGTAGAATTTTATTCACCAACAGGAGCCATATGACATCTCTAGTATTACTAGCTTTGACTTGAAGTAGATCTTATCTTTAGGCACTACTTTAAGGCCATAACTGAGATGCTCCTCCTCAACTGTGGAGGGTTGCCAAATGGATTTTGGAAATACTAATTAAGTTGGAAATCCTGCACAGGTTAATGGAATGTCTTGGGTTTTTTTTGTTTAAACTAATGTTTAATCTGGAGACCTGGTCTACAGGTGATGCTACTCTAGGTCCCCTTATCATTCTCCAAGAGCAGGGGGACACCACCCCTGCTGTGGAACCTGAAGCCCAGAGGCTCCACCTGAAAACAGAAGAGTACAAAGGAATGAGTATATGGTTTGTATGGATACTGTGCTAGTCTCTCTATCCCCTCTCAGGTTTCTCTTCTGACGTTCTGATCCAGGCTGGTTGGTGATTGCTGTGGGCCCTGTCTGCATTGCTGTGCTGTGAACTGTCCTGTCCAGGACCCACGTGGGTCCTAATGCCCCAGTATAGTGACAGGGACACTATACTGTAAACAAGCGCCGTCTTTCGGATAAGATGTAAAACCGAGGACTCTCTGTGGTCATTAAAAATCCCAGGGCGTTTCTCGAAAAGAGTAGGGGTGTAACCCCGGCGTCCTGCCATGCCTCCTAATAATCCCCCTCTATGAATTGGCTACATTACTTTGTTCTCCTCTTCCCCCACCCCCCTCCGATGGCAGGCGGAGCGACGTGCCGGTTGGAGTATTCTCGTCGCATTTAATGGCAATGTCAGCTCAAAGATTTGGTTCAAACCACTAAATGGAGACGGGCCGACAAGTGGACCCTGCTGATGCGGGATTAACGCTAGGATGAGAGAGAGTTATACTGCAAAAATCACACAGCAGGGTCATGAGAAATACTACCATGAAAAACCGGACACTGCACACTGTGATGGATTCCCAAGGGCACAGATGCCCACCAGAATATATTGATTGTGAGCGTTGCTCTTTAATTTGTGTTCATTATACAACCATTTCAATGGGTCAGGAAAACATTCTAAACTCCATGTTTGAGATTGAAGACCTCCAAATTTAGAAAGGATTCCCAAGCCAAGATCCTCAATAGTTTTATCACTGCACCCGTACCCAGTTGAGGAAGACTATTAGCTTCACTCATATTGCATGGCTGCACTCAAGAAGGTACCACTTCCAATGTTCTGTATTACAGTCTGAATAGTCATCCCCGGTCTTAGAGAAGTCTAGTACACGGAGAATATAATCCTACAACATGCTTGGTTGGTCACTGCTCCTCAAGGACTACAGATATGACCCCCAGAACAAAGGTTACAGAGACAGCTACTCAGCATTGACAAAGTGCAAGAATCTGTCAAAGGGACAGAGTGTGATTGCAGTATGACCAAGTGCAGCCCAGAATATAGTACTAAGGTGCCTTGCTGAGCGTTTGGGTCAGCTCCCCTTACTATTTGTGCACTTTAGGGGAAACGTGCACTGCAGAAAGGGCATTAAGCTTGTTGACTGTAGCTGCCAGGTACTTCCAGCATCATTAAAGTAAGCCAAGTGTCTTGCCCATCCAAACTCTTGCTAACAGCTGTTTTCATTGCAGTAAGAGCAGAGCATTATGAAGGGGGATGAAAATTACAGTCTTAATCTCAGAGGCACCCTACAGCAAAGGGCTGCACTTGACACCGCCCCCAATAACACGGTAAACTTGCTTCTAGCTGTAAGCAAACTAAATTATGTCTGGAAGCCTATTTCAAGCATTAGGTTTCAAGCAGAGACTCAAGAGATTGTCAATCAAAGCTGGATAAGAAACCCATAGGAGAGACAGATCACGTTGTGCTCCAATATTTAGTTTCGTCAACTCATGGCTTTGCTTAGTTATGCCTCCTGGACAGGACAGTTCACAGCATAGCAATGCAGACAGGGCCCACAGCAATCGCCACCCAGCCTGGATCAGAACGTCGGAAGAGAAACCTGTGAGAGGATAGAGAGACTAGCACAGAAACAGGAATAGCCTCCTTACTCATTCCTTTGTACTCTTGTTTTCAGGTGGAGCCTCTGGGCTTCAGGTTCCACAGCAGGGCTGGTATCTCCCTGCTCTTGGAGACTAAGGGGACCTAGAGTAGCATCACTTGTAGACCAGGTCTCCACATTAAACATTGGTTTAAAAAAAAAAAAACCAAGACATTCTATTAACCTGTGCAGGATTTCCAACAATTAACATTTTCAAAATACATTTGGCCACCCTCCACAGTTGAGGAGGAGCATCTCAGTTATGGCCTTAAAGTAGTGCCTAAAGGTAAGATCTACTTCAAGTCAAAGCTAGTAATAGTAGAGATGTCATATGGCTCCTGTTGGTGAATAAAATTCTACTTCTCCTGTGAAGGACAGGAACAATTGCATCCCACTAAGACAAGCATTTCAGTCCCTAGCATCGCCATGCAGTTCCACATTTTAATCCTATAGTCTACTGCCCAAAAGGACCATAAACAATCCTAAAATCCTCTCTGCAAAGATACTGTGGAGATGGCATAAGTTCTCCTGCACAAGTAGGACACTCCTCCAGGCAAGCTTGAAAGGGCAGCTGTTTCCCCCACCATGATTGTGTCCCTGCTCTTCTGCCATTGAGCAGATACTAAGGAACAAGCCTGAGACTCCCACAGGAACCTGAACAGCTGGTGTTCTTCCAAACCACAGGTCAAGTCTGCCGGACTAACTGTAAGAGTTAAGAGTAACAGAGACTGGCAGTAGCCTTAGACAGCACAGCATTCATACCCAACCCATACAGATCCCCCCCTCCAGCACAGCAAGAAGCAGCTCATG